TCAAATTGATAATCAAAGTGTCATTCATTTAAGTAAAAACTCAGTTTATCATGACAGAACAAAGCCTGTTGATATAAAATTCCATTTTGTAAGAAATATGGTTAAACGGGTGTGATCAGTCTTGTTAAAATCCCTACAAAATTTAATTCTTCTGATTTAGGAACAAAAACTCTAACACTTAATAAATTTACAAATTGCTTGAAGATTCTGAACATCACCTAAAAGACTGATTAGGTAATGTTCAGAATTTTATTTGTTGAAAACTAAACTAACTTAAATATTTTTCTTTTTACATGTTCCTAGAGCCAAAGAAGTCAAGTAAAGCTTAAGTCCACTAGTTGAAACAAAGAAATTGTTCAGCAAGGTAAAGAACGTTGATATTTGGGTTGCTTCACAATTTCTTTGGGGATTTATTTTTTGGAAACAGTTTTGGCCCAAATGAGTTTTCTGTAAAACCGTGTTTTTTGGAATAAAGTTTTTTGCCTCTTGGTGGGTTGGGGTGTGTCGTATACGTGGCGCATTCCCAACTGTTGGATGGAGACTGTTCAGTGACTTTTCATGCTTCACATGGCCCTTGGTCATTTGAGTCTCAGACTTTTCATTTTCTAGAATACTCTTTTATCTCTCTGTGTGAGGATTCTTTGTAATTTTCTCTCTGTAAATTGAAATAAAAAAAATTTGTGATGTAATCCTTTCTTTTGTTAGAAAGGGAAGGATGAGTGGTCTATGTGATCTCTAAGAATAATTTTATAATAGAAAAGAGGCTAGATAAAATCGAAGAAATCTTTGATTTCTTTGAACATTTTGTATTATTTCTTTGTGAAACTTAGTGAAATCTTGAGCATACTCTTGATTGAGGCTCAACGAGTGATTAGGTCCTCTGGACTAAACATCTGGGCTCCATTTGGAGCAAAACATATCTGGTGTTCTATTTCCTTTTTATTGTTTTTCAAGTTTTTGCGATTTTAGTTTTGTAAATATTTGAAAATACAAGATTATTATAACTCTGGGACCAACATTGTGATTGCAAGAAGAAATAGGAGTTGGTGCCGGACTTCTTGTTCCCCATGTACGGCATTATGAGGACATAAGTTGGGGCCTGAAGAGGTTGAGCATGATAGTGAATTGTAACCATTCATGCTTGACATCGTTAAGATTGTAGTCTCTATAAAATAGAGAGAACATTTCAGTTCGCTTTGGGATATACACATATCATTATTTGGGTGTTATCTTTTGATGAGTATGATTGCTTACTAATTAAGGATTTTAGACATCTGAATGCGCATGTGAGAAAGTCTTTAATAATATTTTTTGCTTATTTTTAAAATTTTAATCTTATAAAGTAGACAAGGAAAAATCACTTGTATGTGTATAAGCAATATCAAATTTGGTAGACGAGAAATTTTATGCATGCAAATCGAACATAACATCCCTAATAGAAATTTGAACGTGCTCTTTTTCAATTAATTCTTTGCACGCTTTTTCATTGATGATTTGTACAGGTTATAAACAATGTTTACAATTCTATTTGAAGTAAATATATTAGTGTTATGTCTACAATATTTCTTCAGTTACATCCTGAATTGGCAGTCATGATTTTAACCTTGAGATCAATTTATTTTGCTTGTATTTGATTTGTGTAATCTTCCTTAATAATCCCCTCCTATCAAACAGGCTCTAGATTTCAACACCACCTATTCTCGCTGTTAAAGAATCACCGCGAAACCAATAAACAGCTCTCCTAAATTCACGTGCACATTATCATCCCCTCCTATCAAACGGGCTCCAAATTTCAACACCGCCTATTCTCGCTGTTAAAGAATAACACCGCCTATTCTCGCTGTTAAAGAATCACCGCGAAACCAGTAAGGAGCTCTCCCAAATCCACGCGCACATTATCATCAATGACTTTGTCGATAAAAGGAAAAAAAACCTTCATTCTTGTCAAACTATTATCTCTATACTTAGCTTTCAATAATTTTCCACACGCCTTTCAAGTCTTCAACTAGGTTTTCCTGATCCTTATAATCAAATCATCAGAGAGCATTCGGGTTGTGAAAATGTGTGGAAAGCAAACGCATTGTTTAACTTGTTGAAGAATTCTCTGATCATATGGGCACACGTATACGAATATTAATGGCTGTGCAAAAGGAAGGTTGTTAAAAGGGTGAAAAGTGATAAGTGTAGTTTCTACACTTATTTGGGATCCTAAATGATGATATTTTATTATTTTTTAAACGGATTAGTACCTAATTTATTATTTATTGCTTTTATTAGGAAAAGTTCATGTTTCAAAAAAAAATTGGAAAAAAGAACGAAAAATGACTAAAATGAAGCAAATCCAAAGTATGTGACCAAAGTATAAATATCTTATGGTTGATTTGGACCACAAAAGATACTTTGAAAATTGAAAGGAGTCAATTGAATGCAAATTTGAGTCAAAAACGAAAGGGATGTGATTAGAGTATTACCATAAATCGACTTCCAATCATATAAGTTATTTTCAAGATTTTTGATCAACTTGAGACCCATTTTTCGGATGTAGAACATTTGAATTCGGAAAATTGTAATTCTAGAAGAATTGTAGCTCTTTTAACTAACTTTTCAATTTACTTTGAATCACCTAAATCGGATACTAAAAGAGAAAGTTATGACCAAAATACTGAAAGCTGTGCAGAGAGAAAATTATATGCGCGCGAAGACAACTTTCCTTATTTTATTCAAACTCTTTTGGAAGACAATTTGGAATTGAATTTTGACCTAATTGCATCATATAAATACAAGATATGGGCAGCAATGAAAGAGTCTTTCTCTTGCCTCTTCATACACAATAGTTTTATCAAATTCATTAAGAACAATGGGACAATTACTATATTTTGAGAGAGAAGATCAAGTTAAAGCAAGGAATTGAAGTTCAATTACATCAAGATTTTGAAGAATTCAACTTTGGACTTGAAGATCAACATCTTTTATATTCTTTCATGATCCGAGTAATATTTTTTAGTATTCTTCTTGTAATTTATATATTAATATGCTATGCTAATTTCTCATTATATTGGATGAATGATGAATCATATTGTTTGTTTATTTTAATTCAAGACAATTAATTTAGTACTTCATGATTTTTTTCTTAATTGATTTTGTATTCCCATTGAACTATTTAATTACTTGATTACAAATTAGATAGTAAGTTACTTGTTGTAGTGTAGGAATACTCACAATAAGTCTAAAACACGGTAAAATCAACACATGGACAATAAGTGTTAGAAATAATATCTATAACATGTGCAATCATGTGTGATAAATCATGTGGATCAATGCATGTTTTTCATATGAATTCGGACTAGGAATAGGATCGGATCATGTTAAACATATGTTTAATATATTTTGGGAAAAAATATTGAATAAAAGTAGATTATCGATTGTTTTGAATGCATGAATTTACTAAATTATAAATTAAGAGTTGAATTAAATGACAATAGGGGGATTCACGATTCCAATACAATTATTCACATATTAAATAAATATTTTATTTGCTTTCTTAGTTTAATATTAGCATAAAAAACATACAAATCACAACTTTTTTTTATTTTATATTACTTCGAATTTAGTAAAAGTTACTTAACTAAACATACAAATGTGTTTGTTTTTAGAGTAATACTATGTTTAGTCTAAATCTACGTAACATTGACACCTAAACTGAGGTTACAATTTCAATGGAACTAATTAGCATTACACTTATTTTTAATGTTTTGGTTGATTTTCATATATAAAGAATGGAGCAGCGGACTACTGTTTCTTGGCAAGTATAATCGCAAATGGTTGAAATTTTGAAATGAAAACCAAGAAATAACCATATCCATTTTTTAAAACTTATTTTTCCTCAAACTCATTTTGGATCACACATTTCATGATATTCACAACTTTTCAACTATAATTTTATCAACTTTTATAAAAATATATTAAAATCTGATTTTTTTGAGTAAACCAAACCGAGGCTTATTAACAAAATCATATTGAAATAATTTAATATTTAATAAAATTGAAGTTTAATGATCTAGTTCTAAAATAAATGAAAATAAACATTACGATAATCAATTAAAACTATTTCATTAATTATTAAAGAAAAAGAAAATATTAAAACAAATATTTAAAAAAACCTAACCCAAAAGACCTAACCAAGCCATCAAAATAAATGAATGATGAAAAAGTCAAGCCTTTTCCACACGTTTGAGAGAGTAAAAGTGCGCTTAATTGTCAATATTTTTCATGAAAAAATATGATTTTTTTCAATTAAATTTATATTTTTGCACCGTTTAATTGATATTTTTTTTCATGTGATCATATTTTCTTGAAAATAAATATTTAGGGGAGTAGATTTTTATTTTCTTAATAATTAACTCTATCTTTTACTCTCATCTACTTTTTATCTCTCATCTACCTAAAAATAAAAAATGAATAAATATAACATTTTTTATGTTAAAAATAAAATCAATGAAACATATTTAATTGACAATTTTTATACAAATAATTTTTGGACAATTTAATTACTTAAAATTTATATTCTTTCCATGTAAATTTCGTTGTAACAATCAAGCACTCCCTAAATGATTTTTATCCCAAATCCTAACCAATCAAATGGACGATATATATCTTTGGCATAATTAAAAGTAGCACATGCGAGTGGGTGTACGTATGGGCCCCTAAAAATTTCTATGAATCTATCTTCAATACATTTCTCTCTTCTTACTCGTTTAGAGATCTTCACGTGACGTGGCCTTCCCTCTATCTCAAACCTACTATCTTCCACTTTTACCCTCTCTTTACTCTCCACGTTATCACTTTTTCTAACATGCGCTCCTACTCAGCACACCACCTCTCACTTCATCCTCGCCTTTAAATCCAAAAATCTAACGGTTCAGGACCTTGACAAGTAGGCAAGCGTAAGTTAGCATTCACCACTACCGTATATATAAAAAAGCGCCATTAAAATAATGACAGTATTATTAATTTAATCGAAAAGCTGGAAAAAAATTACACCATAGGTAGAAGCAGAAGTCCTCCCTCTCTCTCTTTAGATAGATACTGATACAAATGACCGTTTTACTGTATATACATACAAATAGACTTACGCCGGATCGGGGTTTGGAATTTTTTTGAAGCGGCGGTGTTGTGTAAGTTTGCAGTTTAGGCTAAGTGGTTGCGGAAATTGACTACTAGCTTGCCGTTTATTGATAGAAAATCATTGTCCCCGTCGATAATTTACGTCGTCTAGGTAGCCCACAGTCAAACCTACCCGCCTTCTAGTGTTTTTCTTTACAGGAAGTGAGAATCTAATTTGATTAGGGGATTTTGTAACGAATCATGATCTGTAAAATGGGAATTTTTGGGGGAACTGTAATTTAAGACCTAAGTATGTTAGTTGAAATTGAGGGTTTCATTTCTATTGCACTTTTTGGGACCAAAAAGTGGAGTTTTTCTAGTATTTTTGTTTAATTTTTTTTACCAGTATAGATTGGTGATGGAGAAGAGTGAGATAGGGAAGAACGGGGATGGATTTATTGATAGGAGTAAAGTGAGGATTTTGGTTTGCGATAACGATACGAAGAGTTCCAAGGAGGTTCTTATGCTTCTCTGTAAATGTTCTTATCAAGGTAATATTCTATTTTGTCATTTCTTATTTTTTGCTTAGATTATTTCTCGATTAGGTCTGTGCTTTAAATATGTTTTAAATTTTTGGAGAGAACCTGAAGCTTATGTTTTACCTGAAGCAAATCATTATGATTCCTCAATTGATAGTGCTTTACAATTGTACACCCTTAGTAGTTGTAGTTAGCAGCCATAGAGGGGCCAGAGAAGAGGTAACTTACATAAGGTTTAAAGACATCACTTGCTTGAACTTGAAGGAGGTGTATACATGAAGAAAGGTTTTGAAAATACATTGTTGGGGCTTGGGGATTGTGGAGAATGCTCAATCCTCTTATGGAAAGGAAAAAGAGAACATTAAGAATGTGGTTCTTGCATCGCCTCTAAAAAAATGTAAGAGCTGCACCTGTAATGAATGAATGTGAAGGATAGAATCAATAAAAGAAGCATAAGATTTTAATTAAAAGCTGCTGTCAATCTGGTTGAAAGCTCCAAATTCAACCAAAGCAATATTTTTTTGTCTTTTTTGTCTGGTGTAGCAACGTATTAGCCAATTTACTAATTGCTAGAGAACTCTATTGACTCTCCTAAATACCTCCTAATATTTGGGGAACTACTATTACTTTGAAAGCTTATGGAAAACTACTCATCTACCTAATTCCCAATCATTAAGTGACAAGATGGTATTTATACGCTTGTGCTGAATGTGGATAACTCATGATTTTCAGTGACTTCAGTGAGGTCTCCAAGACAAGTGATTGATGCACTAAACGCTGAGGGGCCTGACATAGATATCATTCTTTCTGAAGTTGACCTTCCTATGTCCAAAGGACTGAAGATGTTGAAACACATCACGAGGGACAAAGACTTGCAACGCATTCCAGTGATCAGTAAGTTCAACTTTTGTTTCTTTGTACTCCTTGTTAAGATGTTTGTGTTTTTGCGATAATGTATTGATTGTCATTCTCTTGATGCTTGATTCCAGTGATGTCAGCTCAAGATGAGGTCTCGATTGTTGTCAAGTGTCTGAAATTTGGAGCAGCTGACTATCTTGTCAAGCCATTACGAACCAACGAGTTATTAAATTTGTGGACTCATATGTGGAGAAGAAGGCGAATGGCAAGTACACTTTAATTATGTTGCTTAGTTGTTTCCCAAGTATATTTGTAAGGGGATTTAAGGTAGTATTTCAGAGGTCATAAGTCTTATTGCATGTTATCTACTCATCCAAAGTACATGTGAAAAAATAAAAGACCTAAGTTTTATGTTATCTACTCAGTCAAATAGAAACACATATTGTATTCATGGATTCTGATACTAACTCAGCCCCTGTTTGGATCTCATTTTAATGAGATTCTGTGACCAAAATACATTTTACTACAGTGACAGATGAATTAAAAATTTGAAATCTGTCAACACATTTGTCAGAAGAACAGGGAAATCAAACTGGCAGTTGAGAAGTGAATGACAAAAATACCCTGTTTTGGTCAATTTAGATTCTGCAATTACCTTCAGCCCATTACCCTAGAATTCTTCCCATTCAAGGGCAAAAAATGGAACATTGTGCATATTGTACTGTTCATTAATGGAAAAATGTCAAATGTGTATCATCTGGTGTCAAATGGTTTTCAAGATGGGTTTTGCTATTTGTCCAGGGCCACATGGGCCTTGGATGAATAGGCACACACCTGCCAATAGAGGGGCGCATGGAGTGATAGGGCCCATGTCACTCTATCAAAACCCGTTCAAGATATTCAAAATAAAGTGGCCCACGTTTGTTGAAAATGAGTTTGTAAAATGCACAAGAAATGGGGGCCAAACGGATGCTCAATTTAACACTTCTTTATTGTTCATTCTGAAATTGCCTACCGAGGATGTGATGTATGTGTAGTACTGTGCTCTTGTGCACTGTAATTTAGTCATCTTTACTTCTCTGTCTCAATTTTTATGTAACTTTCTGCATCTCTTCTCTTTACATGGACAGCTTGGACTGGCAGAGAAGAACATTGTGAATTATGATTTTGATATGGTTGTATCGGATCCTAGTGATGCTAATACCAATAGCACTACTTTGTTCTCCGATGACACGGATGACAAGTCTCGAAAGAGTATCCATCCGGAGGCTTGTGTTTCGACTCATCAGGAAGATGAGGTGAGTTTGACATGGAGGTCTAGGTAATGATTCAAAAAATTTAAATATATGCTTAATTTGAAATCATAGATGGTGCGGACTATTCTTGTTGATGCATTAAGTTGCAAATTTGGTCATACAAGAAAACATTTGGCACCTGCAAATTTCTTCTTCTAATATCTGTCATTGAAGTAAACTCTAGCAGTGACTATGTCATTCTACATTTTTTCAATGTAGCAGATGTAAATGAAGGTGGTTTTTGCATTGCCCCTTTTTTCAGTGTAGGCACTTATATTTTTTTAATGCATTACCTCATTCATTTAGTTCCACCTCCAATTTCTTGGTAGTTATCATATGATGCTCTCATACTTTTGATCAATACATTTATTCAACCTGTCAGGATTCCAAATCATTCACAGATTTGGATTATGTTTGGATGTGCATAAAAATTTCTTTTCTAGATAGTAAGTTTACACTTGCTCTCTGAAAAAAATAAGTTTTGTTTGTTAAAAAAAAAGTAACTTTGAAATCATGTTTAGTAAATTAAGCTAGTTTCACTTACTTCTAAGTGCAACCAATCATACTCATATGTTAGTCAAAATGTATGTAAACGACACATTTAGGGTTGATGAAATTCCCCAAATACAACAATCTGATGAACAATGCCAATTCTTAGTCACTTTGCTTGTATATGACACATTCACTCTTGAAGAAATTAATGATTCCTTCCACGATAACAATCTGAAGAATAATACCAATTGCTGGCTAATACCATTGCTCCACTGCTGTCCTAGCTGGTACCGTGAAATTATATCCCTCCACTACCGCAACTCACTTTAAGCCTCACAAAAACCCATCAAAAATTTTTCTTCACAAAAAGCAACTGAAATGACTTGTTGAAGACAAAATTCTAAATAAATAACTCAACATCGTCACACCATCTCCACAGCCTCCCTAGGTCCTACAATTACACCATTCGCCTCCACTACCATATCTCAGATCTAAGCCCCACAAAAATATTCAACAAGAAATCTTCTTCACTAAATCAACCAAAAAGATTTTGTTGAAGACAAAATTTAAATAAGTTTGACCCCTCTCTAACAGCTTACCTTTCAGATGAGGTCACAAGGTGGTTCAACGGGGTAATAAGACAGGCTAAAGACCTGAGTTCAGGTCTCGCCACAACCCAGTGACTTCTTTCCTCTCCATAACAAGCATTCTTTCTCTACTCCATCAACACTGTGAAGTAGAAGGAGGCCTCTGCGAGCATTCATCCACAACAAGTTACCATATTTTTGTCCAATTTGTCAAGTCCTAGAACAACTGAACTAAAATCAGGTTTTTTAAGTTTCATCTAGAGCATAGCAACAACATTATTTCCTTATGAGAAATCGTGTTATTGACTCTTTGTATTGAGTGGAAAAGGTTAGGCGAGAGAGGTAATGGAGTTGCTGATTGCCTTGTACAAATACAAAAAGTTTATGTATCTGCTCATATGTATTTGTCTATATGCCCATTGTAATATATATAAGAGAATCTGGTGAGAGACCCGCCCCCTGGGGGGGGGGATGCAGTCGTAATTACAAGAACAAATTTTAGCAAGTTTTTCAATTTTACCACATATATTTGTAATTTGAAATCAGAAATGATGCATTAGTGTCTGGTTCTGGAGTCTTTTATCATTGAAAATTGTGTGATCTTCTGCGCATATAAAGCTTTTTAAATATTGGGGTTAATTATATACCCAATGTGTGTAGTACTGTGGCTGGGTGTGAGTATGTGGGTGTGTGTTGAGGGGATGAAGGCAAGTTGAGCAATGCACATGCAATATATTTTTGTGTAGGGTAGAACCTAGGTTCTGATGCTCAAGAGAACAGTTTTTGTCCCTTGAACTAAAGAGTATCTACTTAAATGGCTAAAAACCTGGCCTCACCTAGACGGCATGTTTAGTCCACTTTTTATAATCTACAAAATGAATAGTTTCTAGTGGCTCTATTGGCACATGGATGCATTGGTATTCAAGTTCCTTCTGAGTTTCCACTGTTCACACTCCATCTCTCAGCTTCTAGAGTTATTCGCTGGAAGTTCAAATTCTTCTTATCTTAGTTTAACATTGTCATGTGAAAGTTTATTTCAACCACAGATTATTGACCATTATTTTCTAAATAGCAATTTATGCAGTAATAAACAAGCAACTCTATTTTTTGGTAATATTTAAATGATATTATAACCATATGCATTTGTTCATTTCTACTTCTACATTTCCAGAGTAATGCTACTGCTGCTGCTGCGACTCCAACTGGGGCCTCTACAGAGTGTCAGCCTGATGTCCCAGGAATTAGTGACAGGCAGACAGGTAAATGGCTTCGTGATTTTAAATCAACTTACAATTTATAAAAAATGAGTGCTGCACTCCAGATACTCTGTGCATGCCACTGTTATAATGTATTGTTACACAATGCTTTTGAAGTTCGGTCTAACTTTTCTATTACATGGCTATATCTATATTTAAATTGATGGTCATAGGATCATCATTCTGGTTTATGTTATGAACCTCGGTCTTTTACATTCCTTTATTGGACACAGGCGGATAAGTGGTTCGTTCATTATTTTCTATTCATGTGGCCATATAGCTTCTTGGTTTTATTGGAGTGGCTAATTTGTAATTACACACATCAGAGTTTTAGAATTTGAAAACAAAATTGTTTAGTTGAGATGAGAAGAAAAAATATTGTTGAACTCTGTATTCGAGATGATAAATATTCTGTTAAAAACTTAAATAAATTAGCAGTGCAGGCATTCTTTTGAAAGTATAATTTAGTATATGAAGATTAACTTGTAAGACTAAACTCAAAAAGGGGAATTAGATATTCTGTTAAAAACTTAAATAAATTAGCAGTGCAGGCATGCTTTTGAAAGTATAATTTAGTATATGAAGATTAACTTGTAAGACTAAACTCAAAAAGGGGAATTAGATTTTTGTTTAATGAATGGGCTATATATAAGTTAACTTTGAGAGTGGCCATGTCATGTGAACAGATTAAAGGCCTTACTTCCATTACAAGGAAATATTTCTAAGTGGTCATCCAAGCCTTGTAAATAATTTCATCATGAACCATATGTTTACATCCTATAAAAATTTTGAGACACTTCTCAGGATAGGTTGAATTCAAATTAACTTAGTTGAATTCAAATTAACTTAAATATCTGTCAGCTCACAGTGCTTTTGATTTTGAGTCAATTTTTTCTCGTTTGTCATAAGTTTCAAGGTACTTGATGACTAATTATAAAAAAATAAAAATAAAAATAGAATAAAATAAATTGGATGTGCTTTGAATTTCTGGTGTAGATATTGACTGGATCTCCCTGCCACAAATCAGGAAATCGTTAAGGATGATCGTGATAAGTTGCTAGACACAAGCCTAATGATACCCTTCTAAATGGGTCCTGAAAGTTGTTTACCGTGTGATATGCTCCATGATGCACTAGAAATATAATTGTATAGTATTCAGAAACATAGGATTTCCAACTTTTGCCTCCTACTTAAGTTTTCTGATATACTGTGATATATGCCTAAAAATCAATTAGGGAAAATTTCACCATTTCAAAAGAAGAGTGAGTTAAAGATAGGTGAGTCTTCGGCCTTTTTCACGTACATCAAATCAAGCATGCCCAGAAGCAACAACCAGGGTGATGCCTCTGTTCGTGAAAATGTGCCTCAGAACTTGAGGATCAAAGAGAAGCTCACTACAATGAATGGGCAAGTGGGTGCTGATATCCAAGGACATGACAACAGAGATTCTGTGGAAAATCATTCTCAAGGAGATGATAATCCAAGCAGTAATAGTATCCCTGATTCCTTGTCTATGGAGAGATCTTGTACCCCTCCCATATCGCTGGAAACCTCTCAACCAAGGAACTCAAATGAGGAGTTTTCTCAGATGCATATGCATCCAAGAAATGAATCTCCCAATGATGGTGTAGGTTTCCATGCAAATCCTGCCTATTCTTATTATATGTCAGGAGTAATGAATCAATTTATGATGTCATCAGCGGCTGTGTATCAAAAGAACCCACAGCCACAAGATCTGCGCTACCACACCAATTCTGCCATATTACCTCAATACAATCATAATCCACACTATGCTCATCATGTCCCTGGAATGGCATCATATCCTTACTACCCTGTTGGTATATGCTTACCCACTGGCCAGATGCCTACATCAACGCATGCATGGTCATCACAGGGAAGTGCCTCCGCTAATGAAGGAAAGTTGAGCAACATTGATCGTAGAGAGGCCGCTTTAATGAAATTCAAGCAGAAGCGGAAGGAAAGATGTTTTGACAAGAGGATCAGGTATGTCAACCGTAAACGACTTGCGGAACGTAGACCTCGTGTGAAGGGACAGTTTGTTCGGAAGGTAAATGGTGTTAATGTAGATCTTAATGGGCTACCGGCATCAGCAGAAGATGATGATGAAGAAGAGGAAGACTGTGAGGAGGACCAAACAGCTAATATGGATTCTTCGCCAGAGGGGGATGCTTCAATATGTCACTAATAAACTTCATTTATAGAAGGTATACATTCTTTCTGGTCATTTTCCTTCATGATATAGCTTTATGAAGGTTTCTCATGTCTTAATCTTTCTACATGCTGCAGTCTATATATTTATGTGGTTGTGTGATGTTGGTTAATATTCCATACAAGGCAGTGGACTCCTTCGAGTTTGTAGCCAAGTGCTTATCCTTTATCCACTAGATTGGCGACTTGTATGTAGAAGAGTGCAATCTCTTATATTAAACCGAATCTACTCACTTGTTCGCATTGGCTGAGAGGGTTTGAACTTGTAGAGCCACTCTTAAGAGATTCTCACCAGGGCCTGGCACCAGACTCCTTTCATGATCTTTTCAGTCTGGCCGAAGTGTTTTCCTTGAATATTGGACTTTCTGCGACCTCTCATTAGAGGAAAAGGTAAAGTTAATGTGTTGTCGTTGTTTAAAAACAGACCATTGTGACCGTTTATAAAAAAATTTAATGTTAACATATGGCTCTGGATATGACCTGGCTGCTGCTTGTGATTTGGTGCATCATAAGGTCGCATCTGAACTGTAGGAAAATTTTGCTTTGAATACTTTGTTGCCTCGTTAACTGCTACTCTTTTGGATAAAAGTTCACACTATTGGCATACTTGTGCATGATCAGTTTTGATACTTGTTGAGAAAGGTTTGGTGAGTTGCTGCTGCATATCCTCAATTTGTTAATAGTTTACCAACATGATGATCGAAATGATATTGATTAATTTCAAATTCAAGGCATGACTAGTGATGCATAGACATTTAAGCAGAAACGCATATACAAAGGTTCCCTCAGTAGTTGGATTGGGCTGTAAAATCCCCATGTTTCTTTGTATTTCCACTGCACAATGGTTCACAGTACAGGGGCGGACCCAAAATTATTTTTCAATGGGGGCAAAAAAAAAAAAAGAGCTACCATAAATTGTGAAAGCAAAAGAATATTTTGAGAATCGAACTCGGGGTTTTCTAGTTCCTACATCTAAAGCAATAATAACCACTGGACCAGATACCCAACATTTGTCTAGGAATTTTTCTCAAGATAATTAGTCGCCCCCACTGGGCCCTTAATGGTTCCGCCCCTGTCACAGTACAATGTAAAGTTCCACTATAGATCATCTTCCTGCACTACTACTGTCATTGGTTTTTGCTAAAACTAGGTTCTGTGAGATGTGCATTGTGGTTATTTTGTGGATCCTTTGAGCTGGATTTTGTCTGGAGGTTGTGTTCGGTATGTTATGATTGGTTTGGTTTTTTTGCTTTTTATATGCTGTGGACTGGAAACTCCAAGCTTTTGTTCTGTGACCACATTCCAGCCGCTGAACATTGCTTGAGAGGGGTTGTCTGGCTGCTTAGAAACCCCAGCGCATTTTCGTGATAGTCTTGAACCATTTGGAAGCCTGTGCAATTCAGAATTTGGTACTAAATTACTATTGTTTTTTTCATGGAAAAACATGGGCAATCAGAATCATGTTATTCTCTCTCTTTTTCCGGTGCAAGCAGTATTCAGTCTGAATGTCACCAGAACCATAGGGAAGTGGAACATTGAAATGGGACTAAATTGATCTGCATTTTTGAGTAGATAAAATTAATGCGAGCATGCGACACATCATTGTGACAAATCACTAATTTTCCCATTGTGAAAACAAAATAAAACATGTAATTTTTGGACACGAGTAAGAGGCTCAGGCTCGTGCTCGTGCTCGTGCTCGTGCAGATCCTTCTGTACTATTGAAGGACGTATTACTTCGAATACAATGGGTTTCATTGGATATTTTACAATTAGAATTCCTACTTTTTTCTAATTATGCTTATTCTGATTCAGTTCCTCCACTGCTTCTTCAATCAGATTCAAGCATGTAACACTTGCGAGGTAGTATCAAGAAGTGCAGCCTTAACATTATGAATCTAGGATACATAGCAAAAGTGGATAGTTGTGGTAGTATTGAAAGAGACCACACTGAATCTAGGATGCGTGATAGTTTAAAAATGACTGAACTATTTTAATTTTTCAAATTTGCGACACGTGGAGCAGACAGGATCCCCATGAAATGGGTGGTATCAGACAATGTTCTCATCGTGTGAGCAAATACGTGAATGGAAGGAAAAATATAAAATCATAAGATTCTCCTACTAACAAACATAAATTTATAAATCATAACTTCAAAATGACATGTAGGCATGTTTGACAATCAATTTTTAGAGTTTTTTTTTTTTTTTTTTTTTTTTTTTTAATGAAAACGAGTTTTTGAATAGTAATTTTTTGAAAAATATGTAGTTAAAAAGTAGGAAAACGTTTTAAATTTATGTGAAAAATATTTTATTGTGAGAACCTGGTTGAAAATGAGTATAAGAAAATAATAATTTAAAAATAATGGTTACAAAATGAGGGCTAAATCGTTTTTACAGCATGGAGTCTGTTTCAAACATGAAACTTCTTGTAATCTCATTTACTTTAAAATCTTAGTTAATTGATTGAGGAGAACTCTATTGCTAGACCTTTCGAAGTCTTCTGCAATATTTTTCAATCAACGTGAGAAATGAAAATGGTTCCTTACAAAAAGGATAAGAGAAGGATATGATAGTATAAACCCTTTTTTACGAGGTTGAACCCCAATCTCAAGGGTCCTTCAACGTTTAACCTCTGGAGCATCGTGGGAGAGGTTAATTGCGAGATGTGTTCCAGCAGTGTCCTTAAAGAATCTCAATCTATGTGTCAGGAATCGAACAATATAAACTTTTATATATATATATATATATATATATGATTAACCCAACAGAGAAAATAATAATAATAATAATAACAACAACTAACCTAATTAGGTTTAAATTTTACCTCAAACTTACACTAAGGCCCCGTTTGATTACACGAAATTTTCCATGGAACTTGGAATTCGAATTCCAACTTCCACTTTTGGCCTGTTTGATTGACAAAATTTTCCAGGGAATTGATTTTCCATGAATTTCTAGGTACAACACCTTAAAGCGTGATTTTCCAACTTTTTTTCCTAGGGGATAGGTGGTTTTTGGTTTTTCATCTTATTTTTATTTTTTATTTTTTGCTTTTTTTATTTTTTTTTAATTGTTGGCAATGGGAACAAATTTTAGGAATAACTGTAAAAGAGGATATCCCTGAAATTGACAATTTCCACGTAAAACAAAGTCAAACGAACATCAAAAAATACTTTTACTTCAACATTTTCCACGTGAAAAATTTATACAATCAAACACAATAATTTACAATTTCCATGAAAACAATTTCTAGGTAATTCAATTCCCTGAAATTCATTTTCTTTTCATATAATTTTCCTACTTGTAATCAAACACACCCTAAAGGTTAAAAAGGCATTTTGAGAGAGAGGGGGAGAGTTTAATTAATGGAAGAAGAAAACAAGCCGTAAGTGGAGGCGGGTCCGGCGGGATCACATTCGTCGCTGGCAGTGGCACCCTCTTCTTCATTCACTTCATCAATCCCATTTTCCATTTTTCTTTCTTTATCAAACCCAATAATTCTTGCTTCTTCTTCTCTTTCTCCACACCAAATTTTATGCTCAAATGAATAATTTTACATGATCTTTGTCATTTCTTAAGAGAGGGATAGAAAGAGAGATTCAGCCCATGTACAATCACACATATGGGTTCAGACAGCACGCTTACTGCTCAAAAAAGGACGTCCACAGTACTCCCGACAACCATCGCTGCCGCCGCCAACGGCGGTGCCCGCGGCCGTGCCAATTCGATTCTTCCTCGTGGTCGGCAGAACCAAAGGACGTTCAATAATATCAAGATCACTATGCTGTGCTTATTTGTTACGATTCTTGTACTCCGTGGTACAATTGGTCTTGGGAATCTTGCTCCTACAGAGGCTGATTCTGAGAATCAGCTTTTAATCGAGGAGACCAACCGGATCCTTGCCGAGATCCGATCGGATAAAGATGCGAACGACCCGGATGATCAATCCGAAGAATTGTTTAATCCGAATATTACTTATAGTTTAGGGCCGAAAATTAGCTCCTGGGATGCAGACCGCAGGACTTGGCTTCGGAAAAACCCGCAATTCCCGAATTATGTTGACAAAAAAGCTAGGATTTTGCTGGTTACAGGGTCCCCTCCGAACCCTTGTGATAATGCAATTGGGGATCATTACTTGTTGAAGGGTATCAAGAATAAGATTGATTATTGTAGAATTCATGGGATTGAGATTGTGTACAATATGGCTCATCTGGACATGGAAATGGCGGGATACTGGGCGAAGCTGCCATTGATTCGAAGGCTTATGTTGTCCCATCCTGAAGTGGAGTGGATTTGGTGGATGGATAGTGATGCATTGTTTACTGATATGACTTTTGAAATACCTCTTTCAAAATATAATGACTTTAATCTCGTTATCCATGGGTACCCTGATTTGTTGTTCGATCAGAAATCCTGGATCGCATTGAACACTGGTAGTTTCTTGTTTAGGAATTGCCAGTGGTCTCTGGATTTGTTGGACGCTTGGGCACCGATGGGGCCAAAGGGGCCGATTCGAGAGGAGGCTGGGAAGATATTAACTGCAAATTTAAAGGGCCGGCCAGCATTCGAGGCAGATGATCAGTCTGCACTGATATACTTGTTGATTTCAAAGAGGGATGAGTGGATGAGCAAGGTGTTCGTTGAGAACACGTCTTATTTGCATGGATATTGGGCTGCATTGGTGGATCGATACGAGGAAATGATGGAGAAGTCCCACCCAGGGTTGGGCGATGAGAGGTGGCCATTCGTGACTCATTTTGTTGGCTGCAAACCATGTGGGAGTTATGGGGATTACCCGGTCGAGAGGTGCTTGAAGAGTATGGAGAGGGCGTTCAACTTTGCGGATAATCAAGTGCTGAAATTGTACGGATTCAGGCACAGGGGCTTGGTGAGCCCGAATATCAAGAGGATCAGGAACGAGTCTGTTACTCCTCTGGTAAATGTAGATCAGTTCGATATACGGCACTCTTTGCATGAGTCTTCAGTGAGCAAAACTCTGTAGGTAATGTGATTTTCTGTTACATTATAAGATTTGAGTTCGGTAAAGTTTCAATCTGTTTTGAGTTTAATAGAATTTTGAAGTTAGTACAAACTATGGTTTCTTCTGTTACATTTATTACTCTGGAAACATAGGAAGAGAATGATTTTAGTAACTTCGGTAATTGTAGCGGACATCCATGTGATCGAAACTTTACAAAACTACACGATACGGCTGAAAGCAGAAACCGTAACAAGCACAATTCCTTGCTTCTTAACTTAATAAGGCTAAAAAGGGGGTAATGTCGAAATGATTGAAACAAGGACTAACCCCCACTTTCTAAATCCACTAGAAAAGCAGTGGCTTACTAGCTGCTGAAAGTGGTTCCGAAGTTGAAAATGAACTTATAACATAAGGTTGTTGTATTACTTGAGGCTCCCTTTTGCAGATTACCTTTCTTTTAAATACAGAACAAGTCCTCATACTACAAGAATTTCATAGAAAATGAATCTATCGACTCGTAATACTTCAATAGTTTCGTTGATAAAGTTAATGGACACATTAATACCTTTACTTTCTTTGATGTATGGAATTTAGTCTCGAACTATGAGAAAGAAAAAGGAAATTTATTTTCAAAAGCTTATGCCTCAAGGCACACTTTGCATGAGGCATTCAATGGGACTTGGATGTAATGGCCCGGCCTCTATGTCCAAGTTGTTATATCTGCGTACTGTCTGCTTCAAAAAAACATATGTCGTCTTACCACTTATAACCTTTTGTAACGTTCCTTGTCTTATTAGAGATTTAAGTTGATTCATAGTACCAATTGATATATGGGGACTGCAATAAAATTCCTTGAGAGGTAAAATGAGCAAAAGCTCTTCAAAAGCGAATAATATGTATAATATAAGGATTTGGGCACAGGGGATTGAATCTTTACATTGGGAGCCTTAAAACTTACGCATTTTTTGGGTAAGCTTTTAATACTCTTTGTCAAGACTTATTCCTTGATATACTAACGCGAACTCTCCATTTCATGAGCATCGGAGATTTCGAGGCATGTGTTTCTTAATCTTGCCCTCTTTAGGCTTTTTTTTTTATCCTTACGAGCCTCATCCTTTTCTGCGTATTTTTCTAAGGTTCAAAATGTTTGAAGGGTTTGTTATAACGTTTTAAAAATATTTCGACTCCAAAAACTATAAAGAATTCGAATGTAGAGAGGATAACAAGAGAAGAAGATTGTGCATACCCTAACCCTAGCCCCTCCTCCTGCAAGGCGCGATACTTTCAAGTGAAGCACGGTGTGAAAAGTTCAAGTGCTACAGATCAGTTTCTCAAAAAGTTAGTGCTAATGGTTTATATTTTGATGTTAGGTCATAATGGGCCAGATTGTCAAGACCCATACGAACTGAGGACCAGCCCATTAATTGGTTTGTTTCGACAACATTTGACCTTACTGAGAGATTTATGTAGTTTGGTTCAACTTCGGCCAACTGTAATATGGATTATTAACTAATTTATTAGTGCTAAGAAACCTAAACTTGTTACCTTCCCATATTTAATTATGTATAATGTGGGTTAGATATATTTCATTAGCTTCACAGAATAAACAGTTACGAGATCAGCAAATATATTGACCCAAATTCTATTTTTTTTAAAATAAAATAAAGTCTATGTATTGAATAATTTTAAAATGTGCTTATCTCCAACTTTGAAAAGTTTTGACATTTTTAATTCATTATAGCTTGTGCAAGTCAATCAAATGTTAAATCCATTAAGTATAAATTTAATTGTTACATAAAATGATAAAATTGATAGAGCTTCCTAACTTGATGAAATCAACAAAAGAAAGTGAAATTGATTAAAAATTGAGTTGATGGAGCTCCTATCAACTTAACAAAGAACGTGTTTACAAGAGAAAATTAGCATCAAAAGATTTATTTCCTAACTTTTGGTACCTATTTAATGACACAAAATGATATTGTCACCACAATTTTTTATTGTTTAATTACTTTTGAATTGCATTGAATGTTTTCTATCTATGCTCATTATTGCACTTATATTTTGAACTTTATTTTCGTCGCATTCTTATTACTAATATTTCGTTACTTAGCACATTATCTCTATTAACGATTTTAGCTCTAAACATTTGTTGGGATCTTAAAAAAAAGTTTATTTGTCACTCATATTTTTAATTAAAAAATAAATAGTCAAATACAAAGGTATGACAAACTTTTAAGTTTTTAGGTAGAGTTTGTACCTTTCCCAATATAGGTAGCCCAAATTGACTAACAACAATTTGAACTCTTATTATCAATAAATTTAAAGTCAAATCACATCCAACAAAAGGTAGAAGAACCATAGCTTATTATATATGTGAATTACATAATTAAACCTGAATTCTTTTTAATTAGACTCTATAATTTTGATCATATATCTCTTTCTGCTATTAGTATATATCATATCCAAAAACGACTAAAATCTTGATAATCACAATTATATAAACATAAAAAAGAGAGAGTGGGAGACAAAAACAAACGGTTTTTATTACAATAAGAGAAGTTATTGCACCAAAGAGTATATTCTAAGTCATATTTAAAACATCCTCTTTTCATTTGCAAGCAACCCACCAAAAAGCCAAGCTTTCTTTCTAAGATCTCTCAACCTTTATGATGTTACACATTTCACTTTTTCTTTTTCTTTTTTTCTTTCTTTTTTTCTTTTTTCTTTTTTTTTTTCGGGGGGGGGGGGGGGGGGGGGCGTTTTTTTTGT